TATACGTACGTAAAAACTATCTGCATTTCTCTTTTCTTGGCGTGTTGGCGAAACTTTTTTATTGCTCGATATTGATCGGTTGTTCGGGGGCCGAAAATTCTTTGGTTTAATCGAAACTTACTCTATTTAAAGTATGAAATTCTGTGATTAGTTCGTCACATAATTTAAGTCATGAAATTACTTCAAGTAAGTGACTTATTTGATAAGTCATCCAATTTGAGTGCGGGAAGAAAACAACTGCATTATATAAAGAAATTTTTGAACTTTCAATTCTTTTCATTTTTTTATGGCCCCACGTATAAGTCGACCCCCACTTTGAAGTTTTTTTTTTTTTTTTTTTTTTTTTTGTTGTTGTTGTTGTTTTTGTCCAAAATATCTCGACTTATACGCGGGTATATACGGTATTTTTGTTTTATGCAAATTTTATCTCCATTGACAGCTTTGGGATTGCATTATGTGTGTCACCCAAAATGGCTTCGCATGTCATAGGTTCACCATCACTGCCATAGACCCATTCAGTATAAATGTTGTTGATGTGATTCATAAGTTATTTCCAGATTTCTCGGAATAAAGCTTTTCTCTGTTGATGTTGTTAGCTGATTTGTGGTCTGTCTGTTAGGTTGAATGAATAATGTTGAGAGTGTCATGTAATGCTAAGTTTGTCAAGCTTTGTTATAGTATTAAGTTAAAAAAGGTATGATCTATTCCAGCAAAATTATGCATGATTCAAAAAAAGATTGTTTTAAAAAATTATTTGCTGTTTGTGAATATCTCTATTGATGTGAATTAATTTTTTTGAAAATATCTATGCAATTTGCTTAAAATTTAATACAGACAAAAGGCGTTAATTCAGACACCCATAATCCGGACCTCAAAGCTACAAACTTTCTGCGCATGCGTCGCTTTTACACGTGCGCATAAGACCTTTGCGGCTGCGAATTTGCGTGTGCGCACGCGCATAATACGTTTACGCATGCGCGTTTAATGTATAATGGACGGTATAAGCTAACCTGAAATTATCTAATTCAGTTAATGTTGCAGATTGCGTTGTTCCATAATCTTCGAATTGGATCCGGCTTATTGTTTTTTGTTAGAGCAATTTTATAAAAGTAAGCTTGAACTTTCGATTATGTCAAATAGAATTTCCGATATATATTTACTAATATGTAAAGGATCTACAAAGCGAAAGTATGTTTCAAAGTCCATTAAACAAAAAGTGGAATTGCTGCAAAAAATGGATAAAGGCATATCCTTTGTTTCTTAAATATTCCGAAATCTGTTTATCAATTTCACGCTGCTCTGCAGGGGGGGGGGCGACATCGCTGCGCGCAATGAACTGGAAGTTGATCTGTCAGCACTATCCTTATCTTCAGAAAGATGTTTTTATTTTATTCAGCTTATAATTCCTTACTAAATGTAGTATTTCATCTCGATGTATCCCGTCTTTGATATGATTTAAATCAAATTCCTCATCATTATAAATATCACGAATACACATCAAATAGTTTTCTGGTTGCAATTTTCTAATTTCAGTATGCGTAATGTATGCTTTACGCATGCGCGCATTGAAAGAAACGTTTAATAAAGTAAACAAATATTGCCATCTTACCAGATTTAAACTGATGATCTATAATCTGGATTAACGACTTTTGACTGTATGTATGTTTAAAGTATCCCAATTCAGAAATTAACTTTTGCTGATTGCATTTACTTTCCTATATGTATTATTATTGTTATTTAAGTGTTCTGTCTTAAGGCAGTACATGAAGGGAGGGATGTCTTCGTGGAGGACTTTCCAAGAAAAACTAGCTCATATTAAAATATGTTTCACATAGGAAAAAAAAAAAAAATGCCCATGCAGCTAGCCCGTTTTGGGGATTCGAACCTCGGACCAAACTACTTATTTTAATCACATCTTCATCTCTCTTCGTTGGATTAATTCATGGATTTATCAATTCAGTAAATTAGTAAACGATACAGAGGGAGTGCCATAAAGGGGAGAAAACTGATACTGGCTTCTTTCATTTTCTATTCCAAGAGATCTATCTCATCATGTCATAGCATGTTTATCATATTAGTGTAATTGCTTCTTCTGAAAGACAGTCATCTACTTTTGTGGAAGCTTTGATCTTAAAACATCTTCTGAATTGTATTAGTTTGGCCAACCAATACTAAAAAACAATGGTTCAATTGAATGTTCAATTCAGAGATATCCAACTCTGTTATTAGGCAGTTTTTGCTGAATGGGAGTGCATTACTTTCCTACATAGAAAATGTAGACATTTGAGAACTGTCCATTAATGAAAGTACAGTCAAAAGTCGTTAATTCGGACACCCATAATCCGGAATGATCTATAATCCGGACCTCAAAGTTAAAAACTTTTTGCGCATGCGCCGCGTTGACACATGCGCATAGACGTTTACGCGTGCACGTAAGACCTTTACAACTGTACGTGTGCGCAAGCGCAGAATACGTTTTCACATGCGCGCTTTATGTATAACGGGCAGTATAAGCTCAAATTATCAATTTCAGTTAATGTTGATGATTGCGTTGTTCCTTAACAGTACAAAGTCTTTAATCCAGACGCGGAATAATTTGGAATGATCTATAAACCGGACCTCAAAGCTAAAAACTTTCTGCACATGCGCATAATATGTTTACGCATGCGTGTTTAATGTATAACGGAAGGTATAAGCTAGGCTAAAATTATCTAATTATCTATTTCAGTTAATGCTGCAGTTTGCGTTGTTCCTTAATCTTCTAATTGTATCCGGCTTATTATTTTTTGCAGACTGTAAGAGCAATTTTATAAAAGTAAACTTGAACTTTCGATTATGTCAAATAGAATTTCCGATGCTGGAGCTCCCAAAGGATCTACAAAATGAAAGTATGTTTCGATGTCCATCAAACAAAAAGTGGAATTGCTGCAAAAAATGGATAAAGACATGAAGAAGGTGATAGAGAGGTTAGTGAAAACGAAAAAATTTCGATTGAGAAGTTAGTCGGTATTCTCGGCACAGCAATTACGGGACTTGAACAGCAGAACTTTGTAACTGAACAAGAAATTATGTCTGTTTATAGAATCAAGGAGAAAGTATTATCACATAAAACGAAGCAACTTAAACAACTTACATTGAAAGAAATGTTTAATAAAGTAAACAAGTAAATATTAAGCTTTTTTTTTTTTTTTTTTTTTATACCCTTTAGATCATAATTGTTCTTTATTTCATAAATTACGGTTTCATATTTTTAATTTTAGAATTTCTGCATGCCATCTTACGAGATTTAAACTGATGATCTATAATCCGGAAAAATCAATAATCGTGAATCGCCGAAGGAGTCCGGATTAACGACTTTTGACTGTATAACTATATGTCAGTCAAGTTAATTATATTGACTTGTTCATAGGAAGCTTTTATGGTCTTCCAAATTTTCTACAGATAGAAGTGCATGGGATACCAGAATTTCATCATTGGTTATACAGGTTTGGATCCCATTCCACTAACTGTGTCCCTCTACCCCAATTTTGATACAAAGCACCACAGCAGATTGATGATCTTTCTTAAAATTCTCCCCCCCCTTCTCTCTTCCATCAGAAACCTGAGGACTTTTGGTTTACCTGTAGGTAAACGTTTACAGTTAGGTGCACTCTCTCTTTGAGGGGGATTCTTTTTTTACCTCAATATCAGTGCCAGGAAGATACAATTTCAGTATGGCTGCTACACAGAACCAAAATAAGAAGTCAAAGAATTTGACAAACTTTGTCCATGCACACATTGATCTATTTTTCACTTTAAAAAAAAGTCAGATAATTGCACAAATTCGGCATTGCGCACTGCCTTGACTTTGTTCATGTACACATCAATCTATTTTCAATTTTAAAGAAATCAGGAGAATGATGATATCATATAAGGTTAAAACAAAGTTATGGTAACATTAGGTGATGGCAGTAGATGCTAAAACCAAGGTAAAACTATCATGGTAACCAGAAATGGGGTTTCATTGCCAAAACTGAACAAAATTTGTCGCCAATTGAAGGGGCACCCAGTTCTATGCTGGAGCCAGCCTGTATTTTAAGTTCTTCCAAGCTGCACAGGCACTAAACGCTTAAAACAGCCATGTCTTCTTCAGAATTCAAACCTAGCCCATTGATATTGCAGCTAGCATACCTATCAGAGTACTTCAGAAAGATACTCAATTTATAAATCTTTACCTAAATGCAACCTCTTTTTAATTTCCAAATTCTCATCATGGGATTTAAAAAAAGGTAGGGTTTAAGTAGCGATATATATTTTGAGTATCCTTGTATATATTTAAGTCTTATTTATATAATGGCGCTTGAACATGTGATATAAATGTTCAAACATCATGTAAGGTATGTTGATTGTTTCTTACAGAGCTCTGATTTTAATGGTTGTTTAATATTTTCATGATGTGTAAAACTATCCCCCCGGACTAAAAAAAGCACAGTGTGTGCCAATGTTAGTATTTGTAAAAGTAATAATTTCGAAACTGTTACACAAGTCCTTCTTAGGAAAAAAACTGTTTTCATTTTTTTTTTTATTTATTTATTTTTTTTTTTAATCTATCATTGATTTTTTTTTTTTCGTGTCTGTGTGTGTGTGTGTGTTTTTATTACGTATTTAATCATTGTTTTCTTGTGTAATAATATTTACCATATAAGAAAATTATTCTGTATGTGAAAAATATGGAGTTTGAAATTTATGTGTAAGAATTTATATATTCCTTTGAGTTAGTGTGTTTAATCATGGCTGGTATAAATCTATTGTACGATAGATTGAATCTGTTGTACTGGCTGTCGAAATTGCTTGCAATTAAAATAGCATTATTACATGTAATTTCTCTTTTCCCTAAGTAACTCAGAACTGATTATAAAAGGGGCTAGCATTTCTTTTATTATATATATTTTTCGTTTTTATTGAATATAATTTTGTGTAAAATGCATTTTATCAAATTTTGTGTGGTTTTCATTTTTTAGATGAATCTAGGCATATGAAGCCCAATGAAATTTTACATTGATTAGTTTTCATTTGTGTGTAAAAGGTAAGGTAAAAATTCTGATTTTAAAACCTTTTATAAATTTGTAGGTATTTTTTTGTTAAATTGATAAAGATTTTTGTAACTATGTTTATTTGAAACATGGGAAAATCAGCATTACATATATAATAGTATATTAACTGCAAGTAAATTTTTTAAAAATTTGGATAGAATATTTAATATAAGGCAAGCAGTATGCATTTTCCATTTATCTATGTATAAAATATAAATATGAACCTAACTTTTAAAAACTGTAGTTTACCAGTGGCTGAAACTTGTGTTGTTTGCTATGAGTTCTGTTCTGTCACTGAACAGGTAGACTTCATGTGCTTTTCATGGTTTTCTCTGTATATGAAGTGAATACAAGTTATACCTATGTAATTCTTATATGATGTATACAATGCAATATACACATATAATTATTAACTACTTGTATAATAATATAAATAAACTACTTGTAATAATTCAGCAGTATTCTACTTATTCTACTTGTAATTATTCTACTTGTAATAATTGTTTCAGCAGATTCCATAACTTAAGGAATTATTCTGTCTTAGATCCTGTAATTTTCAAACCATTTTATTTTAATAATGCGTTGACATTGAGGAAAGCACAGTTTTCAGCTTTAATCAAGGCCTGACTGATGCCTTTTCAAAATGATAGACAACACAGGGGGAATGGAATATTTGTCTAAAATAAAGCTTTTCTCTCTAGTAGAATTTTTTTTAATCCATCCCCCTTCCCTTTTTAGACTAAAATTTCATACACACAAAAGCTAACTAAACTAAATTAATAAACTAAATATAAAAATAATATAATATAATAATATAAAACTAAATTAATGTAAAGAATGGAGATTTCGTTTCCATTCTAAGAAATATGGATAAGATCTGTAAATTTATAATTAAAAAAAAAAAAAAAAAAAAAAAGAGGTGGTTTTTGAAATTATAATTCGAAAGCTATTAGAGCGTTCTAATCATTTCCTTCTTTTCTTGGGTCAGTTGTTTGAACATTGCGCAGCTCTCAAATGATATACAAAAGTGCATATCTCAAAGAACTTAGTTCTGAAAACTTTATTGACTTTAATATAACCATGAGGTGAAACTTTGGATTATAATAGAAAGGCCTGGGATTTTTTAAAAATGGTGATATGAATGAATGTTTTACTTCTTAGATTTCAAGTATTCTTGAATTAAGTGCACTAATACAAATTAGACAAAAATAAAAGAGTGATTTAGAATGTATTTTATAATAATTAAATGTGTCACTTTTTTGAATGCCTTGCAAAGTTAAGTTGTCAATAGCCTCCTTACTTTTTAATTGTTTATATAATCTTAGTAAACTGACACCCTTCAAATCCAAACTGTTATTTTTGTAGGTTAATATACTGATTTTTATGTGCATAAAGTATTTTTTCCCTCCTGGAATTTAATATCTAGTTTTAAAAAGTCTGCATTTTCCCATAATTATGTCAGATTCTGCACTAGTGATATAATAGTTGAACACAATTTGAATTGTTGAATTTCAAATGTTGAATTAAATTTGACAGCAAATTTTAATAATTAAAAGTGAACAGCAAAAAATGTGAATTGTAAAAATATTATTAATGATTAGTATAGGTAATGTTCATTATTAATATTTTCAGTTAAAATATCTTAAAAACATTCTTATGATTTTTTGTTGTTGTTTTGTCTGAACTTTTCTTTAAAAAAAAATCATTATTTATTTGATAATAACTTTTTAAGATATTTATTTTGCTTATTGCTTTATTGCAGAATTTTATTCAATGCTGCTTGGCTTTTTGTTGTACAGAAAGAATGGCTGATATTTGTGAGTATTTATGCAGTTATACATTAGTGTGTTAATTAATTGCAATTAAAGTTTTTTTAACAGCCAGAATTAAGTAAAGTAGTCCAATAAGCATGATAGACAGATCAGAAGATAATTTGAATTATGATGCCATGCTTTAGCAAAACTGCTTGCTTTTAAAGTAGTTTTGAATCTTCCATAAGCGGGGTAAGTTGGTGCCAAACTCTTTTCATTTGTGATGTCAAACTTTACATCGCCATTTCATTTCGCATTTGCCAATTGCAAAAAGAAACAGCGATGTAAAATCTAACATCGCCAAATGAAAATGGCGCTGAATACAATACAAGCATAAATTACTACAAACTAAAACATAAATTTAAATTGAACTACCAAAAATTCAAGTCACAAACATGAGACTAAAAATTAGAAAAATAAGTTTTTTACTTGAATCCTTATTAACCAACCATCTTTGCAGAACATTTTGGACACACCACATCAGTTTCAATTGAAGGAATTAAACTAACTTCTGAAATAAATTGTTGAACACTTTTCTCGAACTCCAAAATTGTCAATTAAGTAAATATATTCAAATTCACTAACAGTAGATGCATCATAAACTCACTAAAATATGCAAGTTACTATCGCTGTGGAATTCAACATATTGAACCACTTTCACTTAACACCCTAAACATTCCACATCTCTCCATTGCCCCATGCAAAAAATAAATAAATAAATAAAAAATAATTAACTAACCCAAAAAACATTAACTAAATAAAATTAAATGAAAACATTCTAAAATTTTAAACTATATGTCATCTGAAATCCAACATTTTCCGCTAACAACAGCTTAACCTCCTGCAAATATTAAACAGTAAAACTTTTTAAAAACAAACACAATATTTCAAAATTAAATTTTTTTTAAAAAATCCGACTACAGTAAACTCGCACTCATTACAGTCACGGAAATAAAGCTTTATGTTTGCCACAAGAAAACATACAGCCATTCACAACCAAATTGAAATCACACCAAATAAAAAAAACTCTTGCCACGTTTCGCACTTATCCCACTTATGGCAGATTAACCAAAAAATTAGAATTACAGATTATGTATAATATATATACATATATCCAGTGAGTAATTAAAGTTTGTAGAAAATATGTTGAAACAAAGTTGTTGCTTTTTTTCTGTTGTTTTTAATTATCTCAATGCCCAGGCTTAAAGCCTGCATTGCAGCCTCGTGAATGATCATGCATAGAATGAAAATGAGGAGAATGAGTCTGTTATTGGTTAAAATGTCTGGTTACCAGTATTAAAATGATTGAACCCAGCTCCATCCCAGTTCTGATTGAAAAGTCTGTAGCAGAGAAAATCTAAAAGTCTTGCACCCTTTTGTGTTTTCCACTAGTCTTTTATTATGTTCTGCTTAATAAATTTTAATCCAATGATTTGACAAACAGCTATGTTGACCAGATTACAATCCCAGAGACTATCATTTCTTCATTTATATATTTAATGTGCTGTATCCTGTAAGAAAACATTAACTGAACATTCATTTGTAATCTATTAAGAAAGAATCTGCTGTAGTGCAAATAGATTCAAGTGATAAGGATTACCACTCTAGTTATCTGAATGTCGGTTGCTGCATATTGTGAAAGACTGTAATTGGGCTAATTCTCTAAATGCTGAGAGTTCTGATGACAAATTTTATAATTATGTATTTTTTTAACAATAAGAGATTAAATTTACCAATTTGCTGTATCTATCCTAGCTGTTGGTGTATCTTATTAGTGGCATGAATATTATTGATAATGCCTGTTTGATTTATTGCTATATCTTAGTAGAATATTGTGCATGCCAGCATAATATTTTAAATCTTAGATTTAAGGTATAATAGAATGTTGAGTGCAAGCTGACGTAAAGTCAGTGTGTAATGTTTTGCATATTAGAGTGCTACAAGCTGGCTTAAGCATGTCTTGGTATGCTTAAGCCAGCTTGTAACGTTGACATTGGTAACTAACATTGACAGCAGTGACAGAAAAAAAGTATGTATAGTATAAAAAATATAGTAGTAGAGTAGTAAAAATATAGTTATTAAATGTAGTACCTCTTGTATTAATACGAGCATCTGTTATAACTATCTCCTAAATCCATTTCAGATCTTAAAGGAGGTAGATGTTTCTCCTGGAATGCATATCGCAAAAATGGTTTCGGTTAGAGGGAGCCTCACAAACTTAATTAACTTAGATGGGCTTTTAGTAAATGAGCTCTATCAATGTTATCATAGGCTGCCTTGAAGTTGACTAACAAATTATGGGTTCCACTCTTTCTTTGAGGTAGCAGAATTTTGTTTTCGGTGGTTTGTTTATTAATGTTGTTTTCATTTTCAAAGATTTTTTTGTTTATATGAAAGAAAAATTCTTATAAGTTGATTTACTTTGATCATATTTTGATGTAACTCGTCACACTACCTTTGAATTTCAGTATATGTTATGTTTATTAAATTTAAAAACCTATGCATTTAAACTATATTGACTTGCTGTGTTTTTGTTGCGGTGATGGTACCATACATTAATGGAATTCGTGATTTCCTTTCATCTGGTATTAAACTAGAGGCCAATATTTAACCAGTTGGCAGTCCTAACGATGTATACAACTTCATTGAAAATAAGACTATTATATTAAATCCATAATAAATGCAGAAAACAAAACAAAAAATTCTTAAATAAGAAAAGTACCAAATAGAGTTTGCTAGCTTAATTTCAAATACTGTGCCATAAAAACTACTGGTTTTTTTTAACCCTTAAATGCATGTATTTGTCATTTGGCAATATAGTCATGTAGATCAAATCAAAACACAAATTTTAGCTTACTGCATGCTGTAACCAATTGGATACTTACTGTTTACTTATATAGTTTTGAAAGTTTCTGTGTGGTGACAGCATTAACGGTATAACGGTCATTATTGTGAGTTGATGTGTAGGGTGTGGACATTTATGAATTTTTGATTTTGTGTTTGTTGTTATTTTGATGTATTCAAAGTTTTAAAATTGTTTGAACAAATTTTATAAGGTATGTATTATTACATAAAATTGTTATTACACATTTGCCTATCATACCCCCCCCCAAATTGTAATAAAAAGTTAGTTTAGATTATTTTAGTATTTTTCTGATTTTATTTGATATCAGTTCTAATGTATTTTTGACTTTAAAAATAAAAATAAAAATTCATGCTTTTAAGGGTTAACATTCTCAACATATTCTTCTTTTCGTGTAATTAATCTCGCATGAATTCATTTAAGCAGAAATTTGGATGGAGGACAGTGCCATGCTCACATTTATTTAACCATTTTGTACTGCCTCATACTTTTCAATAGCTTTTGTATGACATCTATCAGGATCAGTGAAGTTGTAAATTATACCTGACTTCCAAGTGTTCATATCTGGCAACTGTTAATTAATCCACTTTAAATGCCTTCCAACAATCAAAACAAATTATACTTTCTTCTGCCTCATTTTCTTGCATCACTATAATCAAAGTTTTTGCTGAATGATTTGGGACAGCCACTAAGAAATACTTTTTTGATTCATGATACTCATGATTTTTTCAGGCTGCTACATTTGCCACTTTGGCATACTATTACAACAGCCCATTGTTAAATTAGAAAGTGCCAGAATTTTTATTAAAATGTTAGTTATAAGAATTTTCAGTCTGATGTTTATCATTTGATGCTTAGTAATAATTTTGACATAGCTTGTTATAATTTTTTTTAAATTCTTTTTTCGTAGCTTGTTCCAGTATTCTGGAAACGAGAAACCCAGGGGCTGCACCACATATTTTAGCTACTATACCTCCACCTCCAACAAAAAGTCATAGAGTTATTGTTGGGCCTGCAGTTAAGCAAAATAGTTTAGTTGGAGAAAATGAAATATCACCTAGTCATCAGCCTGTTTCACAGGTAGGTCTTCCAGTAGCATTCCAATGGTTTCTTATTTTCAGATATGTGGATTTCCTTCAAATGTTATATCTATAAACATAATAAATATCTCAAACAAAATATTTGCTGGTAGTCTGAATTTTTGAATTATAACATACCTTGCCTTTTCACACAAAGCTTTTAGAAATAAATTATTATAAATTTGAATGTCTTATGTATAGAATAAAATTAGTTTCTTCTAAAATTGTACTTGCTTATTAATAAGTAGAGTCTGGTCTTTAAAATGCTGCACATGCAGGGAAGTAATACTGAGAGCTTTCATGCATTGTGTAAAATTCAAATCCTTTCAAATGTATTTTTTTCTCTCAAATCTTAAAACATGGTTTAAGTGTTCTTTTCATGACAATAGATAAGTTCTAGTATTGGAGCATAGTCAGAATTAGTCATGTGAATGCAAAGTGTTGTTATTAATAAAAGTTTTACCTTGAATAGGCTTGTTGTTCTCTTAGCAGGTATTTATATCAAGCTTATGTTGTTAAAAATATACAAAAAACTAAATACAGCTGTTAAGATTTAATATTTTACCTGTTGTTGCCAGGGTACTGCAGCTTATAATTTACTGGCACATAACTTTGTATATAATTCACTTTGTTGCTGCAGAATGTTAACAGTTTTATTGTTCTGTTGGGGGGCGAACATAAAAACGTGAGAATCTGAAATTTTGAGGATGATTATCTTAATATCAGTGTTGGTGCAGTGATGTATTGTTGGTAAAATAATTCTGCTCTATAATACTAGAATGGGGTTTGAAAGTGAAAAGTCTAGAGTATAAATCTAAGAATATGAAATTTTAGAGTTGATTCTTCTTCTACACGACTATTGTGAATTTTGCTAAAAACAGTAATTTCTATAAATTTTGAACCAGTACATGCTTTTATGAAAATTATTTCTATTTTGAAATACAGAATCCTGTAATACATCTATTTGGTTTAAAGGACACAACACAGTGATTGCCATTCTTAATCTTTGAAGTTAAAAAAATTCTTAATAAAAATTATAAATATTAAGAAATGATTGTAGAAATTGTAGTGTTTCAGTAAATAGCATACTACTAAACAAGTAACAAATAGGCAGGTCTTTTCTGTATGCAATAATTTCAAAACAGTCATGAAATCATTAAAATATGTTAACTCATAAACAGCATTCATTGCTAATATGTCACGAGAAAAGGAGGAACTTTTTCCAAATGGTTAAATAAGTTACATAAATTTGTTCAAAATTTATCTGTTATATGTACTTTATTTTTTATTCTCATTTCATGTAGCCAACATCCCTCATTCTGGGTCCTTCAGCGAAAAATGCTGATTCACCAAGTTCTTCTCCTGTAGATGTCGGTGTATCTCCACGAAATTCTCTTTCTATGTCTACAGACAAGAATTGGTCATTTTTCCAAAAAGGTAATTTTTGAAAATGTTTGTTGAAATACATATTAATTTGTGAACAGAATTACAGATTAATCTATGCAAATCTGTAAACATTTAAAAAATTTGCATTTAGTGAATCAATAAATAAACTTGTGTCGTAACACACTTCAGAAGTGCATAAAATTTTTAGGGATAAAGAATTTTATTATGTATATTTTTTAGGTATTAGATAAAATTATTTCTTGGAATTCTGAATATGACTCCAGTTTTGAATAAACTCTGTCACAAGTTTGCTTGTTATTAAAGGATTTTATTTCTAACTTAGACAAACATTGGATTATGTGACTTTCTTGTAGGATCGTATATCATACTTCGTATCTCTTTTCTCATAATCCTAATCTCTGACAAAATTTCTTTAAAATAAAATACATAATATCTATGATTCAGTGATATAACTATATATGAGTCCCTGAAATTCAAATTTTTTAAATGTGTACTTTATCATCCTGCTTAATTAAAAATTGTATTGTTCTTCTTGATTTTTTAAAAAAAATTATTTTATCAATGGTTGGCCCTCAGCAAACTTCAGCTTGGCCACTAAGTGGTGGTCATGTTATTCAAGAGGCACCTAATAGGTGGACCACCTTTGCCTCCTATGAAGGGATGGACAGTTACAACCATACCTTCTCTGGGATTCGAACCTGTGCCCTTTGGTGTTGCAGTCTGCTCCCCTAACCACTATACAGTCTGGGCAGCATCTTGATGTAAATAAAAAAAAAAATTATTATGTTTTATGAAATTTGTACTAAATGTGGCCTGTTAGTGTTGTGTGTTCTAAATAAAAAGAAATTTTAAGACAGAAAGAATAATTGTAAATTTTAATTTAAATTTTTTGCTGTTAGAGGAAAGGAGACCTGGTATTTTATATGAAATAATTGAAGAAAGTATTGTGCATGCCGAGTGGCAGCTAGCTTTTAAACATGGCTGAGCAAATTTATTAACAATATATTTTGTTAAAGCAAAATTTTGAAGCACATCCTGCTCTTAATAATAATGAATATCTCAAGATACCCCAATAATCTTTTTTAGTATAGGTCTATTTACTATCAGAAATAAGCATTGGCACTGTATATATCTGAAAATATTCATAAATCGGCAAATCCATCATTAGTAATAATTAACAAATTTGATTGACTTTACCTCTGGCTGCAAAACAGACTTTAAAAGCCAGATCCAGTTGAGGAGCCATTGCTCATGTAAATAATCACCAAAACATTCATTTTAGTATCTTCTGTTCAGTAGGTCGTAACAGATTTTAAATATTATATATCCTTCATTAAAAAGAACTAAATAGTTTCTGAGCATCTGATGTGTTGAAAATGTATAAATTGTAAGGTTCTACATGACTGTAAATGCCAACTCCTCCAGCTGTAAAGACAGACAATTTATCATCTCATCATATATTCTAAGTAGAGCAACCATAAACTCAGATGAAGGCTAAAGTAAACTTTTTTTTTTAATATGTCAGCCATATTGTTATATAAAATTTAGAACAATAATAATAATAAAAACTCTGCTGCTGGCAAGAAAACACAGAACAGAAGTTCCAGTCAGATTAAAATATTAAATACAGAGTAACATGCATGTGAATAAACTTTGGCTTGGCCTTAAATATTTTATAAGGAATTGCAGCTAAGGAAACTAAAGTCAGTAAAGAACTTAAGGCAGTTGTAACAGAGTAATCAGCCAATGATAGTTGACAAAGGCTTTCTCTCCAGGTCAAGAAATCTGCTTATACAGTGTTTGTCCACAAAATAACAAGCCTCATTTTTTCTCTTACAATTTATTGATCGTACACATACATTTTTGCCAGCGCCCATGCTGTATATGCTTTTCGAAAGTCATCTGCTGAGATGCCCTTTAGAGCAGCGGTGACCAACCTTGGGCTGGCCAGCCCGATAAGGTACTATGAACAAAAAATATTTTTTAAATAACCATATTTCTTAATTGTTAAAATACGGTAAGCATTTATAGTCATAAGAGACATCTTGCAAGACGTTATAAAATACGGGGGTAAGTTGAAAAATAAGTTTTCCCTGTCGACTGTGGTCAGAGTTGTGTATGAAAGTCAAAAAATAGAATGAGACATTAAAGATATGACGTACCTTTATTTTATTATTCTCGTACGAGTACGTTGAGACATTTGTCATATCGCTTGATAAGCTTCAAAAAGTCCTCCAAGAAAAATTCATGCTTTGCATATGGAAGAAGCGTTGAACGGGCGGAAGGCGACACAGCAGGAAAACGCGCAAGTCACCGATACACCATTGGGTAGAGGTCGCTGCAATCAAGCAGATGGCGCTGTTGCAGTGTCTGCGCGAAGCGGAGACCAGTCTCTCATTTGAGCCTCGGTAGGTATGGAGAGAAGGTGCATTTTGAATTCGTGGTCAAAGGAGGAAGTGAGAGCGGTTATCCGCTATGAATGGGCACGTGGAGTATCAGGAACAGAAATTCATAACCGCTTCGTGGAAGTCTATGGGCCAGGTGTGATGTAGAAGCAAATGGTGTGGAGATGGTGTCGCACATTCAGTGATGGACGTCGGCAAGTGGAGGACATACCGAGAGCTGGACGGACGCGCACAGCCACTACAGATGCAAATGTCAGGAAGGTGGATGACATGATTAGAGCGAACCGGCGTATCACCATCGATGAAGTAGCCAAAGAACTTGGAATCTCACATGAGCGAGCTCAAAACATTATCCACGACATTCTTCGATACAGAAAAGTGTCAGCACAATGGGTGCCCCGACAATTGACCTCGACACACAAGGAACAACGCATGGGGGTCAGCCTGGAACATCTCCTGCATTACCATGAAGATGGCAATGACTTTCTGTTTCGGATTGTGACGGGGGATGAAACGTGGGTCCACCATTTCACGTCAGAACCGAAGGCCGCATCTATGGAGTGGAAACATCCGTCATCACCTGTCCGAAAGAAGTTCAAGACAATTCCCTCTGCAGGTAAAGTGTTCCTCACAGTTTTCTGGGACGCCCAAGGAGTTTTGTTGCTGGACTTTTTGGAGATTTGAACCATCAATGCTACGCGCTACTGTGACACCCTGTCGAAATTTAAAAAGGCGATTCGGAAAAAGCGGCGTGGCCTTCTCACATCTGGCGTTCTGCTGTTGGATGACAATGCCAGACCACATTCGGCGACGGCAATGCAAAACCATATTGCAACTCTTGGTTGAGGGCGCCTACACCATCCGCCATACAGTCCTGATCTCGCACCAAGCGACTTCCATCTGTTTCCGGCTTTGAAGAAAAATCTCGGGGAAAGGCGCTTTGGAAGCAATACTGAAGTGAAACAAGCCGTTCAGTGCTTCTTCCATATGCAAAGCCCTGATTTTTTCCTGGAAGGCTTTTTGAAGCTTATCAAGCGATATGACAAATGTCTCAATGTACTTGGTACCTATGTGGAAAAATAAAGGTATGTCATATCTTTAATGTCTCATTCTATTTTTTGACTTTCATACACAACTCTGACCACTTTTCAACTTACCCTCGTACTTAATTGCTGACTGATGAACTTGATAGTGAATATGGAATCTTATTGCTTCATTCCGGTGTTAGATGGCTCAGCAGGGGGAAAGTACTTCAAAGGTTTATAGAACTTCTTTTGTCAATAAAGCAGTTATGGAATCCGGAAACGAAAGTTACAAAGAATTAGGTGATAATAATTGGTTATCTGATCTGTATTTTCTCACGAATATAACAGCTAAACTGAACAAAGATCTCCAGGGAAGAGAAAAAATCCTTTTTCAATTGACTGCGATTGTAACTGCTGTTCAAATAAAGTTAAATTCATGTATAAATCGGATTAAAGAAAAAAATTTCACCCATTTTCAGAATTTATCAAGCCATATTAATAACCACAAGGCAATTGAAACAGAGAAATACTCAGAAAATCTAAATGCACTGAAATATAATTTTTAACTCCGCTTCTCTGATTTCCATAAAGTTCAACTAATATTATTATTCATCTCAAACCCATTTGCCGAAATTTATATTTCAGATGTATTACATAAGATTAGAAATATGTTTAACAAAAATGTTGATGTTTTGAAAATGTGCTTCGTGAGAGGCCAAATGTTGGGCACCACTGCTTTAGAAGAACCGTCGTGGTTGCTTTGATGTTCTCCACGGTGCCCAGATGATGTCATTTAACACCCATTTCAATTGAGGGAATTGAAGTCCGCTGGGGCTAGTTTCGGACTGTAGAGTGGGTGGGAAACTGTTGCTACGCCGATCCGGGTCAGGTAAGATGTCACAATAAAAGCGTTGTGAGAGGGCGCATTGTCATGATGAAATTTCCATGTCCTTTGAAGCTCCTCTCGGACTCTGGTCACTCTGCTCTAACGTTTTCTTTATCGTAAGTATGACAAGGTCACTAGACAGTGGTTTATACTGCAGTACTTCCTGACTCATCGAGACCACAAAGGTGTTTAACCTCGGTACCGCTGGAAAGCTTAAGGTTCCTCCTACTCCTTTTCACTCGCAACACTGCTTGGTGCTGTACTGTCACTTCACAGTCAAATGGAGCTCGTTAGTTCTTGGACAAACCCTGTACATTGTCTTTCTTCATCTGCATACTAACTGGTAAAATCCTAGTACTATTTTTAAAGTAATTATAATAACAGCTTTTCAAACGTTTTGTAAATTTTGAAATGTATGTGGAATTTTCTTTCCTTATGAAGAAAGTGGTTTTGATCATTGTTGATAGTTTTATTCAAATTGTATGCCAATCTAAGTTTGTTTTTATTGTGATTGAAAAGTCTCCAGCCAGATTCAGTTCTTAATTCCCAGTCAGTGGAAAAGGCTCTTTTTCTAAAACATCATCATCAGTTTTCAAAGCATTTTCAAGTAATTCTAGTGTTAAATAGGAATCTGAATTTATGCTTTCTTTAGTAACATGCACTTTTGAAGATAATATGCTAGTTTATTAATGAATAATAATTTTAATCAGCTTA